CTTTTCTTCATAACTTAGAATCAAGATCGAGCGATCTTCTGGCGGAAGCGTAGGAGAATCGACTCCATCTTTATTTCGTACCGACTCCACATTGGCCAACTGAAAAGCTTTGAGAAGGTCGCTTCGTCGTGAGGGTGAGAGACTACTGTGCGCTCTTGGCGAAACTTCAGGTCTCAACAGAGCTTGGTCCTCGAGTGGATCATCCTGATCGGAGTCCGTCAAACGCTTGCTCATGACAACTGCGGCAATGATTATCAACGTCCCAAAGATGACAATCAATATGATTACCACCATAGTGAAGGACTGATAGACAGTCGACCGAAGGATCATGTTATTGCAGAACCAGGTGTCCTGCTCCTCTGTTGGTGGCAGTATATATTCGACGTATTGTGGTTCGGGGGCAATCGACCCAGTAGCCCATTGATAGACTCCTCGTTGAAGGTGTGCCATTGCAATGGAGTGGTAATACTTTAATTCAAGCGTCCACTGATTCTCTGGCAAAGCGGTTGATACCACTGCACCACTACTCGCTGAATAAGTCTCGTTGTTCGCCAACAGTGGGTTAGTCGTGGACCTGAGGGATGAGACAAGATTTCTCAGACTTGACAAGGTCACAGCTCTCATCATTCGATCAAAGGTAGCATTTCGATGAGGTGTGAGGGCGGCATTGAAAGCGGCGACATTTTGAACTTGATCGAATCCAAGAAAGCCCGTGCAGATGTTGTCGTTGGTACAAAACTTATGCTGCTTGGTGCAGCCAAGGGTACTGATGACCATATCCCGCGTATAGCGGGTTCGAAGATAGGGAGGCATATTTGGATGCTCGAACCGGGTTTCGTTATGCGCGGCAAACCACGGGTCGTCAACCTGGCCTATGTACGTTCCCGTGTAGCTGAGAAAAAGAAGAACCAGATCGGCATCTTTCTGCACTAGCTTTGCGATGGGCTCAAAATCACCGACGCTCCATTGCGGGTCTGCAGTGGCATAAGCCATTTCTGCGTCCAGTTGATATGCAAGGGTCACCTGAGAGGTGAAATTGTCAAAAAAAGACGCAAAATTTGAGTAGGCGTATGTCCATTCCGTGTTCTTGTAGAGTGAAGGGCCATAATAAGCGTAAGCAGTGTCTAGTGCAGGCCGGGAACTTGAGCTGTTCATTATTGTGCCATTCCACCCCTTGATATGATCAGTCCCATTGAGAACAGCGCATGTTGTTCTTCTCCAGTATTTCAAGCGGTCTTTTGGGTCAGCGTTTATACCAAGGGCCTCGTGAGAGTCAATCTGATCTGTCTCTAGGACAATAACGTTGCGGTCTCCAAGGCATGATTGCATTTGAAACGGGCATGTGCCATTCGAAATAGTCCAGTTGAGACTTGAAGTTTTAAACGTGTTACAGGCGGATGGCCTGCTATTGATAGGTGATTGGGTGAAGTAACACTGTTGAGCATATTCGAGACTCAGCTGCACATCTTGAGCCCTTTTGGCGTAGGACTGAATATTCATCTTGAACTTTTCTTCTGCGGAAAAGTCGCCGTTGTTTACAATCTCAAAATAAGTCTGATTCCACATCCCACAATGTTTACTTCTGGAAAGGGCTGGCCAGGGCCCATTTGTTGAGTCGGTGCTAATTGCTCGATTGGAAAAGATACCGGCGGTGTAGAACAGGATTGCGTAGATTATGGCGAATAAACCGAATGAATATGAGCGTAGAGAGGGCTTGCCGGTGCTCGTCCGTCGATGTCTCCATGCTAGACGTAACATGCGCCCCGCAGTCGTAATGATGTCCGAGCCTGCATTTTTTAATACCGTTTGTTGCCTCTGGAGATGTGGAGTGAGCATCTCTGGCTTGGTGGGAGTACCGAACCTGTAGAACGAGTATCGAATAATGTTCCAGAGCTGAACCCCACCAACAGTGACAAAGACTGCCAACGAGTTGGTCAAGATGATGGCATAGGTTGGGGACAATGTTAAGGTAAGGCCCCATATCTTGCCCTTGGACCAATCTGTCCAGATGCCCTGGTAAATACAAGCAACGGGGTCCAGCATGTCCGCCATGCTTGAAAACGTTCACTGCGATGATGGGAGAAAGAGACCTTCAACTTGTATTTCAACTCATTGACGACCCAGGCGGATTATGTCTGAAGGCGCATTTTCTCTGCTGGGGACGCAGAAGAAATGGCGAATGTGGCGAAAAGGTGACAGGAAACGAAAGGAAATGAAACGACAAAAGGAGTACAGGCAAACTCTTTGCAGCCCTTGGGAAATAAGCGCTGGCTCTCGATTTTGTCTTGCTTTCGCCTTACCATTCCAGTTATGTGAAGTTGAAATATCGTGCTCTCGGAGCAAGCTGCGGGTCTGAGGCGCAGATAGCCATGCGCGACATTGCTTTGGTCGAAGATGAGGTGGGCTGCTCAGCCGACATACGAAACAACGTTATGTGGGCGACTAAGGGCCCCTAGTGAATGAGAATGAGGGTGACATCAACTAGGATGCAGGAGTCCCAGCTGTCAGGAATAATGGCAGGCCTCTGGGCCGCATCGTTTCATGTCGTGATCGAGGCCACAGGTATGGGCGACTAGCCGCGCAGCGTTGGGGGCTCTTGTCTAATACGGATTAGGGTTCATCATGGTTGATAAACCAAATCGGGCGTCACGCAGGGGAGGGTCCAGAAAAAGAAACCATTGGCCACGAAAGAGGTCGCAGAGGCGCGTGTTGTCTCCCGTACCACCTCAGCAGGATGTTGGCAAAATATAATACCCAAACTAGTTCCAAGCTTTTCGAATCCAAGAGGGCAAAATCTCCGAAGCAGCGTTGAGATGGTGAGTTCTGGTGGGTTTGTGGTCATGGATGGAATACGAGAAGAACAAAGCGAGAAAGCACAAATAGGGAAGAAAAGGCTCTGATAGTGCCAAGCATCACGTGCCCTGGAGTTTGATGAAAGCACGTGACCTGAAAGTTCATAGACAAGCAGGATAGATGATGAATCAATGAGGTTTTCATGTTAACGTTTGAAGGGAGAGTACCGTGTAGAGAAGACGTACATACTCACAGTCAGCACACTCATGCTGTCGCACGTCTTTGACGCCCTCATAATTGCAAAGAGGGTCACAACAAGGTCATCTACCACAAATGACTTCTCGACTGAGAACTAACCTCAGCAAGGTCGATTCGGGCTGTAGGATCAAGCAGAAAAGGAACTGATGTAGTACTTGGGCAAAGTCAGCACGCCCTCCGCAATGAAAAGGCTTCCAACTTACCGTGAGACATGGATCTCCTTCATCCCCGTTTTCATCTGCGGGCAAATACACATACAGCACCAACGCTCCCTCATTGATAAAACATGCAATGACCTTAGTACAGACTCGGCCAACGCTGAGAACCCGCGACCAGTCCTTAGCATCAATCCGAACCCTCGACCACCCAGCTTCGTTTTCTCCATTGGGTCCACCGAGCTCCTTCATTTTGGTCGTGGGATGGTCCGTCAAATCCGGGAAATGGGCAGGGTCGAGTTGAGGATGGGCAAGCCCCGTCCAGCGACTTGTAATATTGAGGGCGTCTGTTTTGACCGAGATCTTGAGCGAGCCATGCATATTGGCGCTGAGTTCCAGGCGAGGACTGGCGCCGGAAGATGCCTTGGTCGTGGCGATTGCCAATCGTGTGAAGCGTTCGGATATGGTCTTTATCTGAGCCAGAGGAGGAAGATAGATATTTACGTCTGGCTCCGGCGTTCGGGGCTGATGGAGCCTCTCGACAGCCGCCATGGTTAGGACTTTGACAGGGATATCTTGAGTGACGATTGTTTCTCGTTCACTTGATCCTCCGCCATTGGCGTCGTGCAACGAGAGATCATCGTTATAATTGAAATCGAAATCAGCATTACCGCCATCCCCTCGGGAGGTCGTGGGACGCGCCACAACATTGTTTCCGCTGCTAAAGGTATTGGTTACAATGGTCAATGATAGTATGGGGACATTGTCTTTCTTGGTCAGCCTGATTTCTGCGGAAGTCGACCCAAGCGCCGAACGCAGGGCTCGCGAAAGGGCTTGAATGGGAACTTCGAGGTTAATTGTGTTCTGGGGGGACGCAGATTGGAGAATGTATGTCTCAAAGATCATCTCAGGTCTCAAGACGGACCAAACTTGACTCCCCTTGTCGGGGATGATGGTGAACTGAACATCCTCATCGTTGAGTCGGCACCAGGCAATCTGCCCCAGAGAGGCCAACGAGGCGCAAAATTCTGGCAAGATATTAATGGGAATGAAGCAAGTCGAAGAGGATGGACATAGGGCCTACTTGCAAGTAGATTCACATTTCTGATCTGGCTCTTGAAGCGCATTGCATTGCCCGGGAGTTAATGACAGTGGCAGGGAACAGGGAGTAGGGAGGGAGTTTTGAGGTTTAGGGACGCGATGAATTGGTCTAGCTTGAGGAACATCCCAGAATCAAAAGAACACCAACCACGGTTCTACGGGTATTTAATACGCGAATTGGCTTCTCATCTCGCCTATCGACGCAAAGACGGGCAAAGGATGGGCCACTTGGGAGAAACTAGCAAGACCCTAGTTGGCTGCACGAACACCTCACGCTTCACACCTCACACCTTCACAGGGGGGAATTTTCTGGGGGAAGTTTCCATGCAGCTTGCAGCCTTGAGACCTGCAGCTTGTTGGTGGCGACCAGGGGAACCTGTTTCAAACCATCCAGCATCCTCAATTTCTTTCCCAATCATTTCATCATGCCTGTAATATCCTTATGAGCCCTTGCTCTGTCGCTCTTTCAGCCTCCCACCAGGTACACGACTGCCCCCTCGATCGTTCAGCCAATTCTCTGTCAGCCCAGACATTGTCTCGCATGTTCCCACACCACCATCGCCGGTGAGCGGTGTTAGCTGCCATTTCAGCATGCTGCCATTTTGTTTGCCAGGAGGCTGGAACTCGTTGAGAAAGAAGCAAGTTTGCTTGCTGGCAAGATAAATCGATCGAGAGGATCCTCCTGTTGAGAAAATGGCGCCCTCGACTCCGACTGCGCCGCAATTCCCTCGCTTAGATCCTCCCTCGCCATCTCGCTCTCCCTCTCGATCTCCTCGGCGCAAAGCTCAATTCGCCATTAGAGAGCTCGATCCCCTCCTAGGAAATCTGACGCCAGACTCTACCCTCAGAGCACTACAGGCTACAGAAACTATCTCGGGAGGTGCTGCACAAGAAGATGCTTTGACATCAAGTATTGCGGATGCGACCCCGGCAGAGCGAGAAATCGGCATAAGAGCCGCTTTTGCCGCTCAAAAACTGCGGGAGTGGAAGAATGAATTGTCACAATGGACTTGGCCAGGCAAGCAAGAGAGAGGATTTGGCCTGGGGTTTGTGCCGCCATCACATGCAAGTGGCACGCGCGAAGAGTACCGTGGCTGTTTGCCTGGGTCCGTGGCAGAAGACTATGAAGCCAGACTAGAGGAGATTAGGGACAATCTCGACAGCCTAGGAATCGACGAGATCAAAGACCATGTGCTGGAAGCTCATCTTCCAGCGTCGAGCCCGACAAAGACTTCTAGACCCGTGGGTCCTCGCTCGAGCTATGGACGGATGCGTGACTTCACTGCCCTGATTACTGCGACAGTCATCCAAGCCCTGCCAGATCTTGCCAAGTTAAATATGCTGCTTGACACCTGGGATGTGCGATTGCAGGTACTAAGGGACCTCCCAAGATTTCTCGATGTTATGCACTCTACCAAATCCGAAATTCAGCAGGCATTCAGTGAGATAAGGACACCGGATTCTGCTCAAGTGCTGACTGGGTCGACTTTGGATGATAAGAAAGTGGCGTTGGGTGCACAGGTAGCGGACATGGGGCGTCGCATCGATCGATTTCTTGATGTGCTTGAAGGGCGGGAGGATTCGCTCCCACAGGCCTGGATCGACATACTCGAGAAGATCGAGCTCGACTATGCAACCTGGGTTGTTGAAGCAGAGCACGTTGTGCTCAAAAACAAGCTAGCGTTGAAATCTAGCAAAGGCACCGGGTCTGAAAGTACTGTTGGAAGCTCAGAACGTCCCAGTCCGACACATCAGGAAAGTTCAGTGCCGGAACCAGCACTGCAGCCAGAGGGTGCTCAATCGCCTGCAGCAACTGGTGCTTTGCCTGAAGAGTCAATCCCAGAGATGCCTCCATCAGACGAGGGGGAGGTGAAGGCTAAGCGCAGACCTTCTCTAAAGCTTAATCTTGGCGACCAAAAAGGTCACAAACGGGAAGTTTCGAAAGTCTCTGTCGCTGATTCAATGTACTCGGCGTTCTCAGACATCTCTAATGCGGAGATAATGGACGCCAGGACTACCAGTGTGCTTCCAAGTCCCAAGATCAGTGTTGTGGAAAATCCTTTCCCAACGAGCAGAGCTGAGATTGCCTGGTTTGGATCACCATCTGCAGCTCAGCAACAGATGGCTTTGAAGCCGCCCATGCTCCAGAGAGCATCGACCGCCTCCATAGAGGTCTTCCCGAAGGACAAACTGAAACAAGTCGTGCTCAGACGATCTGCCAGCTGGGATATACTTACACAAATGACTCAGTCGCTCGATAAGACTTCATCGAAAGCGTTGCAGCAGTGGACTGATACTGATTCAACAGTGAAAGCTCATACTGCTGAAGTGGAAGTACGCGAAGCTTCGTCACCGCCAGTTGCAGCCTCGACGACCAGCATTCCTCTCCCAACACCATCCTTTAAAGTAGACCCAGTCGGTACACAGTCCAGCCAGGAACAGTCTCTCCCAGTTTTACCAAGAAGGTCGAGTAAGCGCAGCACTACGAATGGCCACTCCCCAGTTACGCCATTAACAAGCGGAAGCACCGATGAGAAGGCCAAGGAGCGGCCTTCGGACACCTTGGCGGCTGAAATGGGACAATCCCCCAGACGGCCAAGGACAAGAGAATCGCTTGACGATAGAATCCAAGATATTCTCACAAGCCTGCCTACAAGAATCCGATTGGCAAAGGATGCAGATGCTCGATCCTCGTCCACGTCATCAACCCGTGCCTCAACACCAACCGCATCGTTGACATTATCACCAGCCAAAGCGGACCCATCCAGCCGCAGAGGCAGCCTCGCTGACCCCGACATCAAACTGTATCATCTGACGCGCTCTGGACAAGGTCGCGAGGCTCCTCCAGTCAAGCTCTTTGTTCGAACTGTCGGAGATGGGGACCGTGTCATGGTTCGGGTTGGCGGAGGATGGGCTGATCTCGGAGAATACTTACGAGAGTATAGTCTTCACCATGGAAGCCGGGCGACAGTGGATGGTCGACTTGAGGTTGCCAGCTTCCCCGGAAATGGACACAGAGACTCCGGGACTTCTGTCAGCGGGACATCGGTTTCCCAGGGACGTCGTAAGTCGAGATCACCCACTGTAGCTCAAACGACGTTTGAGGGCACACCGTCGAGCGACCTCATTAATCCGAAGACTCGATCATCAACCCAGCGACATCGCTCTCCTGAACGTCGCAAGAGTAGGGGTGACGGTACATGGACACCGCCTCCGGTCCCTCCCATCCCCTTGTCTTATACCGTTAGCTCTCCCACGTCAACCACGTCCGCTGATTATGATGGTGGCACTGTGTCCAGTCTCGTCGACCCAGATCTGCCACTGTCAAAGGACCACTCTCAACGGACGCGACAGAATCCAGCGACAGTGTCCCAGCCAAGATATTCCACCATCATTGGACCGGGCGGTATCACGACGACAACTGTTTTGACTCCTCCTACCACAACAACAAACTATACCCCTCTCGGTGCGGCTGGTCCGAAAATGAACGCGCGACGAGCAGCTACATATGGGATTACACCCGCCGCTAGCAATGACGCTTGGGTACAAGGAATGGTCGGCAAAGCCAGGGCAGTTAGCGGTGGCGGTGGGAGCCCCACGATTGTCCAAGGGCCCAATGGTACGACGACGACAACGACAACGACAACCACTACTACGATCACCTCCACGCCGCCAAGCACGAGCCGTCGAGCATCGTCGTATTTCGGCTCCAGCCCGAGTTCGAATGCCAACTCGAGCCCTGTGACAATTTCCACCAGCCCGAGCACGAGTTCCATTGCCAGTGACGCGAAGGCTTCACGACGTACGAGTCTTAGTGTGCGATCCAAAGGTAACCGTATGAGCCTTGGGGATATTGGGGGGATTAAGAGGGTTTTTTTGAGAAAGAAGTCAGAGGCTGTGAAGTAGCAGCTGGTCTAAGAGCGTGTTTGGGTTGGGTGAATGGAGTTCAAACGGCAAAAATTTCCGCCCAAGTGATGGCTCCATCGATATCTGGCCTTTGGGGGGAATGGCTGTAAAATGGACTGGGTGGGATCGGTTCACAGTACATGACAGCCACATTGCAAGAAAGAAGGCTACGAGAGAGCAAGGCTCTGAGCGTTTGGGACTCGGTGCCAATTGGGTTTATTGGCACAAAGGGCAGCAACACAGCCCACGTACATATATACCTAGTAATATTATCTTGTAATGCTTCATCCACTATTCATATTCAGACGAGGCGAGAGGCAAACTTCTCTCTGAATGACCTGTCTTAATCTCTACCAACTCGCTTGTGTTGAATATTCGGTTAGTGGTCGGATATTGGTTGATTCGGGCATCTTTTCTGAGCTTGCCACTCGTAGCATTCCAGGCCGACCCCTTTTTTTGTTCGAGACAGACTTAGGAACACCCCCCACCCCCGGCGGGGATCGGACATATGTCGATTCACTATTCAGCCTCTCTACCGTCCCCCTACCAAGTATTTGTCTAGGGGTGGGGGGAACCCGCCTCAGCATAACCAGTCCGACTAATGAGTGAGCGGGGGGAATCGTTTCCGTCTTGGAACCTCACGCGTACTTACGTCCTGTCGAACTAAAGTAGTCTCGGGATGTGAGATGCTTCGCCGAGATGGTGTACGAGTGCTCGAACACATCGCTAGGGGAGGGAAGGCGTGGATGGGGTGGCTCGAGGTTCGAGGTAGGCGATGCACTGTCGTCCAACTCATCACGCTCATGGAGCAACCTCTTGCCCTTCCACTAAAAAAACACCTCGTGCTCCTCAAAAAATCAACGTCTTTCCCTTGGCAGACTTAAAGTCGGCCTCGTCACCCACCTGCCAGTCCCCGTCCCCTACGTCCACAGGAGACAAATATCTGTGATCCTTAGGCGGCTCGTAGTGTTGCATGATTTTCGGATTCACCAACAAACATCGCAACTCCTTTGCGCGTCAGTAGTTGGACAAAGCGACGTCGAATACCTCGTCCACGCCACGGGCCAGAAGGGACAGAATCTCCTGTGAACTCTTTGTCACGCCACGGCCAAAGGTGCAGACCGTCATGGTCGAGATTTGGGTTTGGCGATGGCCCTCTGGAAGAGGGTCGACGAGGTATTTATTTGACCAGCTCACGTACTGGACTATTGCGACGCTCGTGTCGTCGGCGTAGATCAGGCCCGGAGGAACCCCATCATCGATTGCTGCGCCGCAATGGCCCAGCCAAAGGACGGCCCAATCTGTGCCAAATGGTGACGCCAGATTCGAGTCCGATATCCTCGAATGCGTAGACGAATTCTTCGGGCTTGTGCGGCTGCGTCGGAATAGAAGTTTGGGGCGGCTGGGGTTGGCGGCTGCTTGCAGTCCTCATATGCGCTAGTTGAGTTTCGATGAAGTGTTAATAGCATTTGAAACTACAGTCAACTATTAACAAGAACGACTCAAGGAATCCGATTTCCTGTTGAGTTGTTGCAACATTATACACACCTGAGGGTGTCGTGTACATCGGAGGAAGACTACTAGTCATCTTGCGGCTAGTCTGTCTGGCATGCGAGAGCAGAGCACGATGTGGGGTCGTTTTCTAGAGCACCTATCTGCTTCGTGTTGGTTGAAGGATCGACGAAGAAACATCCGTCTGTCCATCCCGCAACAATGATTGGATATCTCCCCAGTCGCCATCAAACTGGCTTCGGGGTGGGGAGTGAGACAGGGCAACCTCAAATGTCACATTCTAGGATGTTGCGGTTGTCCCACACCGCAAAGAAATAGACCCAGAAGATGCAAGTATTTATTCACAAAGCGTAGGGCTCTTCAGCACTAATCCTGTGCTGCTCGAACGCAGGAGTACTCGGCCTGAGTCTGAAAGTAGATCGCGGTATATCCTGATATATGGCGACAGAACTTGATATTCTTAAAGATAGGGTCCCTTGTGTTGATCTCAGTGGGAAAACCTGTCCTACTTCGATCTTGACCGATACCTAGAAATATTTGACGGTGTTTTAGATTCAGAGGTGCCTGGCACCTGTTATAAGCTAGATCATCACCGTGAGCGAGAGACGCCAGTACACAGGTCGATACAACCTTGAACCAGTTTGGCGCGAAGGCGAAACCACCGGTAGTCACGTTTGGAACAGTTCTTGGGAACCAAGCCGCGTCAGTAGCACAATCACTGGTAAATGGTGCTCTCTGTTTGACCAGAGAACACTCATGGGCGTTGAGTAGATGTCCGACTAAGAACCGATATAGCGGATTCCCTTGAGCAAGGCCGTTCGAAACCAAACGACGTCAGATGAAAGGCCAGAGGCAGACACGGTGAGTCACTTGTACGAAACTGTTACATGAGAATGTATAGCCCGACATAGCAGGAAGAGAATGAGATATCGAAAAAGTGGTGGATGTACTTGGAACCAAGTGACTGAGTGACCTAATGATACATAACCCAGCCCGATATGAGGAGCAAACAGCTTCAACTGATTACGCCTCCATATCTATTCAGGATGTTTGTTTCTTTGGTTGAGCCTTGTATCGCTTAGATAACCCACACAAGGTCTCAGGAAAGTGTTTAAAGCGGTCGGAGAGCTTACCTCGTGCTCTGGATTTGAGGGCTGGGTACTACCAGGCTGAGTCGGCGCAGGTGGCTTGAATTTCTCGGCCCTACAGCAAAATTGGAAGCGGGGTTTGTCAGTACGGTGCGTTGCCCAAGGAATGTTGCAACTGCTCGAGCCTCAGGGATCACGAGAGATTGGATCCTCGGCAGCGCCATGTTGTGGTAAGCGATAGACTTACTCCTTGCGACGAATATAATCATCTTCCAGGGCCTTCTCGCGCTCCTTGAACTTGGGCACGTTCATTTTTGATTTCTGACTGTTTCTTCTCACGTAACTTCCGAGCTTGATGATATCTGATCGATCGGTAAATGTTGAAGAATTGAGGATGATATGGATACTACGTACCTCGTAGTTCCTACAAAGTCCTCGCAATATATGAAGACTCCCATTTTCTTAGCTATGCCACTGCGATGACGTCAAAATCAAACAGCTACATAGCAAGCCCCACTTTGCCCCACCTCCACAAATATTGCAGTTATGTATTTTTATTGCCAAAATTTAGGCACAATTACAGCGTTGGTGGTGTAATGGTAGTAAGTCCAACATGATGAAATTACCGCAAATTCCCGTCTAACAGAAGAACTCAGACATTGGAGCCTTCCACACCCCTTGAGGCAAGCTCTAGCCCCGGGTTCGATGTAAGTTGTCAAGTATGGGGTGTTCAATGTGTGGTCCTCTAACAACGCTCTCAGTCCCGGCTGACGCAACGCAACAAACGATGTTTTTTGGTTCCTGGGCGCCACCCTTTCTTTTTCTTTTTCTTTTTCTTCCCGCAGCTACCTCCAATAGCCTTATTTTCATTAAGGGGGGGATACATAGGGCATATAGGTCAAGTACATATTCGATCGATCGAGAATTATCGATGTCTTCCCTCAGAACACTTAACTAGGACGCAAAAGAATGCATGCTTTCTGAGATAAATTGGGAGCGGAATAAAGTACCGTCCTGCAATCACTAATTTTTCATTTTTGCAACTTGTTGCCTGGCTGTCGAAGCACCATGACGCGATAACACAATTTGCATATGCTTAACAATCACATCAACCTATGGTGCTTAATGGTTCCTCTGAGTCTTACCCGAGAGCCCCTTTTCGACAAGCCGCATTCCTATCCCGGATGGCAACGGTACATGGAGTTTCTCCGATTCTCAAGCTGCAGGAAGAACTTCGTGTATCCTATGCTCCTCGGCTGAAGTCTAAATGCCGATCGAAATTGAACCACGACAGAGGTATTTGGTCCATCTCCTCGAATGGGTGGCGGACTAGTATCCAGAAAGACTTCCACTTGTGGTCCAGACAAACAGAATGCCAGTTTCCGCCGAGACCTTCGAAGCCATCTCGCACAAAAAGGCCTTATACGGCCGGCTTGTCGACAAGAAGCAGCTGGACAAGTTCGACCGGGTCGCTGTCCCAGACTGCTCTTTCAGCTTCCTCGACACAGAGGGCAATCCCATCACTAGAGACGGTCTAACATACGTCTTCCCCTCTCTCGACGCCTTCTCGTCCCACATGGCCATCTTCCTAACCAGGACGCAAACACTGCACATGTTCGGACCAGGCGACATGAGATACCTGACACCGGAGAAAAACGAAGTCGAAGCGATCTGGTCCATGGAGGACCAGATCATCTGGAAGGATGAGAATCCACCTATCCAGATGAGAGGAGGTGGCTACTACTATGAGACGTGGACGTTGAAGCACGGGGAATGGCTTCTCAAGTCCTTGAGGTTGGAGAGGACGTACATGAAGGTACTCTTCGATAAAACTCCTGATCAAACTCCTAAATCTGTGGGTATCCCTCGCGCCTAACGTAAGGTTACTTACAGATCACGGCTTTGAACGAAGCGAAGATTTGATACGCGAGTTCAGAGGGGAGGGAGGGATGGATGTCCAGAGTTCCGCTGAGCGCTCTCGAGGCCATCTCAATGTACCTTTGGAATGTGTTGGCAGGGTCGCAAGAGCGCCACTGTGGGAAACCACCTGAGACGCTAAGCGTTTCACCAACTGCGGAAACTACCTCAACCTCGTTGTTCTCGCAGACCTGTGACAGGATGGCGAGGGAATAGGAGGTTTCAGGAATGCTCTTCAGGGTACAGGCCAATGGATATATAAACAGGCAGAGTCTCTCTGAATAGCCAAGGGGACAGAACACAATCAAGCAGATAGATACACAACTGTTCTGTATACAACAGAATGTGACACCAGAGTGCGAGAGGGTGCCAGGATTTTGCCTGAAGGCGGAAGAAATTAGACTGGCAGGTACACTACACAAAAGGCCCAACCAAGTCAACCCCGTTCAAGCCGATGCCTGCGAGAGTAGTTAATAGTAATAATACTAATCTTTGGCTCTCAATTCGGCAATGTGTGGGCCCACCATCAAGGCCTACGATGATTGGCTTCTGATGTATTCTGATCCACTTTAAATCGCGGCCCATAGACTTACCCTGGTGCTTGGTCGGGGAATTCATCCTGAGGGTATGCCTCTCACCTTGTCTTGCCCTGTCCAAGTTCCGCGCAGGGATGAACACAGTTGCGACACCCGAGCGAAATTTCGACTCAGCGTCACCCCCGGGTATCGCACTGTCAGATGGTTCTACCTAATGTTTGTGTCTTCGACTGCTAACGCCGCGCAACATCCAGTGGTGATTTTGGAGGCCGTTGGTACAAGGGCCAGACACACACCAGAGGTAACACACATGGACTCGTGATGTACCCATTGCTTGTAGATGCTCAGTTGCCTAGCTTCGATCACCCACATTATCAACAAACCCAAGGCGGGCTAGACGCCCTTCCACGCCCACCAGCCTCGGCCGGTCAAAATGAAGTTCCTTTGTACACACTCGAGGTTTCGCTACAGCTAGGGTCTGTGGGAAGAATACACTACATGAGATAGAAGTTGCAGGGTCTTCTCCACGGGTCCATCGGGTTAGCTAAGTCGGGAATCAGTCCCTCAGCCGTTCCCACTCCGGCAATGCGTCGAGGGCCATCGCCAAGAGCTTCTTCCAAGACGAAATTTGTGAGAGATGGCCCCTGCGAAAATGACGAGCATCTGGGCGACACATCTTTGAGCTACTGGGCGACATGCAAGAAGTATGCTTCGAGTTTCGGGGCCCTGGAGGACATTTCACTTTGTGCCATGGCGGTGGCCGTAATAGATGATTCGAAGCTTCCTCCCGATATCTCGCCGAGATCGAGTTGGCTACTGGTCAAACAACTGGTCGCCCTGAGCAAGTCGTTGACTTCAATACCGGCTCTTCGGAAATCGGCCGTGTTGATCCTCACAGCGACGCCGAACTTTGGGGAGACTCTTAGCAGAATATGGGTTGACGGAGAGCAATTAGCCCGATCGGGACATTGTTGCTCCTTTTGTTCTATCAAGTACAGAGCCTCGGCCCTCTTGGCACAGAGTCCAAAAGTACGCAATGTTCGAAGGGTTTGGAGCAGCATGAATGACCGAGAGGGCCGTGAAAGGCGGTGTTTGACACAAATCGGCTTATACATGTTTGCAGGTTGCAATGTCCGGGAACCCCTTTGATGGAGCTACTCAAGACTATGCTCGGCAGGAACAAGGTTGAGGCAATAGCTGTGGATGGATACCATCTCTCGGCTTCATCAGTATATACGACACGTCGACCGCCAAATATACAGCTCAGCTTAGCCGGCTTGGCGCGTAAGGTGCGGAGGCTTTGACAAAGGAGCATCCAAACGAATGATAGAAACCCGGGGAGGAGATTGATCTTCCGGCGTCTGGTGCACGAAACCCAAGCGCGGCACCAATAGCTTCCTTGAATTCCATACTACACGATTGATGCTTTTCCTTGGATATCGGATCTCGCCAGAGACATGTCCCGGGCGGACGTAGGAGTGATAGCGATAATTCGCGACTTCTTTGTACAAGCTTAAAATCGTATAGACGAAGTTGCATACGATGGTTGATGTAAGTTTGAAGTGCCTGATCTCGGAGAGGAATGCCACGCACATGATTCGCGAGTGATGGTGATCCCATAAGGTTGCAGAATAACTCCGAGCTATCAGCATCGGGGTCGAGAAACACGTTGCGAAACAAGGCAGGGGTAGCCTCATGATGAGTCTTCTTGTCGACCTGCCGGCCAGTCCTGAGATCTTCTCAATTGAGGTCTCCCATAATATTTTCCATGATTTCAAGTGGAAGTCCTTTCCATTTGTGAGCTTTCCCGGGGCGCTCTGTCCGCGTCGATGACTGGTTGTGAAACTGCACAAGATCAGACAGAGGGCAACCGACCTGGCGCAAAAAGGCTGTGTGTTTTTTTGTCGTAGACTCTAGTGAGATGGCTGCTGTGATTCGAATGGATGCAAAGGGAGGATGATTGGGGAAGGAGAGATGGTGGTTTTGGAGGTGGATGAGTGGTATCTGACATCTTCGGGAACGTCAGTGGTGTCGTGAGCTTGTCGGAATCTTGCACTTTGTGTACTAGCTCCCAGGGTGGCTTCGACCTCGATCCTCCTCTTGAGTCCTCTATACCTTGGGGATCGTCGGTGGACGTGGATGACTGTCAAATGTGGAATACGCGAACGAGAGAAAGGGCCCGTCCAGACACGCAAATCAAAGGCGAACATTGACACTAGGGCGGTGATGCCAGATGTGTGCCTGATGAGACGTTAAATTCTCCCCTGGGCGCTAGTGAATAGAGATGTGTCTAGATGGTAAAGGCTGAAGTGAAGACAGACGTGAACAGGGAGAATTGAAGACAAAGAAGCAGGTAGCCTTGATGTCTGGTCATGCCACCGGCAGGGGCCTTCGGTCAGCGTCAAATACAAAGATTTGTATGGAAAAGGTGGTGGAAATGTACGTTGCTCAAAGTTATCTGCTCTGTGAAGCTCCGATAGCATCGGTTCTATTTCCCAATGGCCTCTGTGACATGTGCCCAGCCACCCATCCTCGAAATCCCTTCAATTGAATATCATGTCATCTCAAAATCACTTTTTATGGGACGCCTGGCGCCCGAACGCAAGGTATAATCACAGTCCCGGCAGCCGCCTCTGTGAAGAAGCATCCTCTAGACACAGGAAAAGGTTCTGCGCTCATGAAGGAGGCGGCCCTTTGCCCTGCCCCTGATGCTGATCCAACAACAGATGCGGCTTGATGAAGTCCTCATCCAACTGGCGGAACCATGCAGTATGGTCCGCCGCTGCACCCCGTAATAGATTCCTTATCGAACTACTTGCACCCGCCAGTGGCGTCGATGATCTTTCTGGCTGGGTGCCTGCTGTGCCCATATCTCCTTGGTCTGCACCCAAGGGGTCACTGTCTCCGTTGTTGAGAATAATATCTGGAGCGGAGCGCACGCGTGTGTCATGAGCTCCGGGAGAGATCGACAAGGGAGACTGTTTCCTCCGGGGTGCCGCAGGAGGGAGGTCAAGTTCTGCCGCATCTTCGTCGTCATCGGACGTTGAGCCACTGTTGCTACCGTTGCCGGCCAGTAGTTTTCCTTGCTGGGCGGCAATTTCGCGATCACGCTGGGAGATGGCGGAGTTTTTGCGCTGGCTTCCGCCATGAAGTGGCGGAGAGCGGCCGTTGCTGCTACTGTAACCTCGGTCGGTGCGAGCGTGTGAGGCTGGGCCGTTTGGTTTTGCTTCGCGACCATTGCCCACGTAGTCGAGGCCAATCGCCGATGGGCGCGGGTTATGGCCAAAACCAGTGCCAGAACGCTTGTAGTACGTGCCACCATTGGCGGTCTCAATATCGAACTCATCGTCTGAGTCAATCTCTTCGACCACACCCGTGCGGATGCCCAGGATCTCGAGCATGCGTGCCGTCGTGCCGCCGAAAATGATGACCGTCAAAACCACCACCACGAGGACAGTGGCCCGGAGTGCGGGGCCATTCTTGCCTTGTAGCCCAGCGGCTAGGGCCACACCGACGGCACCTCGTAAGCCAGCCCAGAACAACATGACCTGGTAGTGCCAGGGAAGTTCTTCGGCCACGTCTCGACCACGGCGTTTGGCCCGCAGTCGAATGATGTAGTTGATCGCCTTGGAAAGCGGGAACACTGCTAGCCACCGTGCGCCACAGATGCCAACCACGGTAACGAGGATGAACAAGGGTTTGAAAACTAGATCTGTCTCAGTAAATAAAGTGAGTCCAAGGTAGATGAAGATGAAGTTCTCCGACAGCTGGGCAGTGATCTGGAAGACGAATTTCGTGGTCAACTGAGTCCTTCGGGACATGTTGTAGTATGCGTAATGTTTGAGAGTGATCCCGCAGAATAAGAGTGAGACAATGCCTGGTGTAATGATCTCAGTGTACTGTATCAAGACTAGAATAAGGAAAACGAGACATACCTGACATGTGGACGCCATTGGAGAAAAAGTAGCTCGCATATGCAATCAGAACGATTAGACAGCTCTCGATCTTGGGGAACCTGCGGACAAGCGTATACTTCAAGGCGAGGGCAGTCCCGATGCCCACGACCACCCCAATCACCAGACTGGTGAAGAAGACGAGTAAGAAGATGCCGATGGCCTCAAACAGGCTGATGATATTCAAGTTCCCAGCTGCTCCCTCCCTGTATCGCTGGGCAGTCTCAAACAGGACGATGGCGATGGCATCATTGAGAATGGATTCGCCAAAGATGACGGTATAGAGTTTGGGTTCGACCTTGTATATGTTGAAGATAGCGAGGATAGTGACGGGATCGGTGGCGGAGAGGGTGGCGCCGACAGAAATGGCTTCGACCCAGGTGATGGTCAAGCCGTCGAAGGGAATCCGCGTCCACAGCCAGAGTATCAAGCCCAAGGACACGGCCGAGATGAAGGTGCCAGCGAATGCAAAGGTCAGAATCGTGCCAATATTGCGGAAGAAGTTTGCCTGTGACCCCCTTTAGCTGATACTCGACATAGGCGCAGATCGGGTCTCTTTGCAAGGAACCCTACCTGGTGTAATTCGTAGCCCGAGGCGAGGATGATGGGCGGGAGAAGGAGGTTGAAGAAGAACTGGTAATCGAAGCTGACGGTGTCTTGTATCGCGGTCCCCGGTGTTATACGTATAATCAGTCCAACGACCATGCCTGCACCTGCGGTCAGCGGCGGACGAGTGTGTCGGGGATTTGGTGCGTACCAGCAAATATAGATATGACGGTTTCATGGACGGCCTGTATTCTCTTCTGCTGCAAGATGTAGCTCGTAAAGAGCGCCGCAATGAGCAGCATGATCAGAATAAAGAGTGCCCATGATGAAAAGATCTCTTTCTGGCCAGCTTCGGGAGGGTCTGTCTCGAGCATCAATCAGTGAGCGGTCGAAAGGGCACCGTGAACAAAAGCAGCGCATGCAGCGTACCATCTGGATCGACGTCTTCAACCTGGCGACCTGTGTCGGAGAATCAGTGTCATGTCACGGTCTCGGAAGGGTTGGCCAGGAGAGGACTGCTGCGTACGGAGAAGACTCAACGTCGCGCCCACCAGAGTTGACGCCATGTTGGCGCAGATGTCAAACTAGGGATCATTCGAGAGGGCGCGGCCCGGGCGCAAACATGGGTAATGATGGGAAACTGAAAGGCAGGAATGACACAGTATTGACAGGCAGGGAGAAGCAGGCTGCGATGTATTTGGTGATGGTGGTGGGAGGCTGGGGACGACAAGCGCAGGCGCAGGCACAGTTCCAAAGGCAAATCTGTACAGACTCCAGATGCGCAGGTACTCGGTAACTATTACGCACAAGCTGCGCACTACTCCTCAGGACCACGAGTACATAATAACGGGATACCGCCACTGGGCGAGTGGGTAACTGGTTCTCCCCTTCTCTGTATTCCGTCCATAGTGCCCGCTCGCTTCTTCCTCCTCCACGCGCTGCTTTTTTCCATACCGTCATTGGCCGAATGTCCTGCTCCTCGTGTCTTTCATCCCTGCCGTCGATGCCGTCCTCGCCGTCTCATTTTCTGCAAGACAACGCTCCGCGTCCCCTCAAGACAAAGACCCATGGTATACATCGAACACGAAGATGCACGGCTCAAGTATTTCCATTTTACAAGGAATGCTAGTAATCTCACAGCTACACCCAGAACTGAGTTTCCTGAGCACCAAATCCCTTCTCACAGTGCCCTCTCTCTCCACCATCCCAAAGCCATGCATGCATGATGCCGGTGACATCCCAATCCCTCTGCTGTTGAGAACTATAGACCGGATTATCGCGCCATTTCCCATTGCCAGATGCACGCTTTATACCAAATCCACCCCCTCCATGACCGCTTTTCTCGTCTCCGGTTTATCTCGTTATGGTACAGTACGACATCCATCTATCATTCCGCTCCGCTGGCAGCCCCGCTCGTAGTGCCATTCGTCGCAATCCCATTACTGCTCGTCCCCAATGTCAGTCTTAGCTTTGTCCCGCCAGCTGGTGCCACGGATCCCCGAGGTGTTCCCGCGCTCGAAGCCGCGGCTGTGGAATCGCCATCCAGAAGTCCTCTATCCCCAAGGCTGGGGTTGTCTGCAATCTGTCTGGCAATCATCTCGTTGCAGTGATTCTATAACATGTCGTTAGTTGCGCGTTTCGGAACAATTGGGGATCAAAGCCTTACCTCAATGGCAATTGCATCGTTGTACAACATGCTGCCGTCCTCATTATACGTCTTCGCGTTCTTCGCCAAGAGCGCAATGTCATTTTGGAAATCTTTGAGGCTGGAGTACTGGTGGCCGTTGATACGTTTCTCAATCATGTCCATGGCGATGGGTTCCGTAATGAAGCTGTAGTAATCGGGGTACACTTTCTTTGGGGGAAGTTCTAGGAACGGTCCGATGATCAATCTTGTCGGCGGTTCGTCGTCGCTCTCATCTTCCGACTGCTGCTCTGAATCCGAGTCAGGTACTTCTAGAGCTTTGATGGACCCAAAGACAGCCTTGAGAGCTTTTTGTAACGCAGATCGCTCAGTGCTACTCAGCGGGTCGATGGCCGGCTTGTTGAGTTGCTTTCCTCTCTTGCGCTTCGTCGCTGGTGTCTCGTCCTCAATGTCCTCAGCCTTGCGCTTCTGCCCCGCTGACTTCCGTCCAGGACCCTTTTTCTTCGGTGGGGGCTCCTCTTCAGAACTCTCGCGTTCGGGTTCGGGTGAAGACGCAATGCCTGCTGCTTCTCGTTCACGTTTGAGCTTGTTGCTGCGTCTTTTCTCGATCCTGGCCTGTTTGCGTTTGGCCGCCTCGCCAATCGAATCGTCCGAGTCGTCAACAGCGGCAAGCCACTGTTCTTCAGTTAACCCGTCGTCATATTTGACTTGGGTTTTGACGCGGGCGCCGCGACCAGTGTACTCCTCTACCTCTTCTTGAACTGGATTGTCCTCAGCCACGTAGATGTCCGGAAGTTCACTTTCCTCCATTAACCGGGCAAGTGGTCGGCCTGGCCCATACTGGTCATGCTCCTCCCGCTCCTTATCCATCTTTTTGAATAAGACCAACTCATCTTCTGTTCGGGCCATGATCTCATTCAGGTCGTCGTCGTCCATCTCCTCTTGGTCTCCAACTTGTTCGGCGGCTTCGGCGGCTTCAAGCAGGGTCTTTAGGAACGCCTCTCGCTCCTCGTTGGTGGATTTGTTGTCAAATTTACCCGCCTGAATGACCTTGCCGTCCATGTCCAGCTTGAACTGAGCGCGCTCCAGGATCTTCTCCTCGACGGAGTTAGAGCTAATGAGACGTAGAATACGCACTTCGTTCTTCTGTCCAATACGGTGAGCACGATCCTGAGCCTGCAAATCCTGGTGAGGATTCCAGTCTGAATCGTAGATAATAACAGTATCTGCAGTTTGAAGATTCAAGCCAAGACCACCGGCACGGGTCGAAAGGAGAAAGCAGAAATATGGCGATCCGGGTTCATTGAAGACCCGCAGCAGTTCAGATCGATCTTCAGCCTTGGTGGCGCCGTCAAGTCGGAGATATTGGATGCCGCGGTAACGCAAGAAGTCCTCCATGATATTCATTATCTGAGTCATCTGGAAGAACATCAACACACGATGACCAGTGGCGCGGAACTTGGGAAGGATTCTGTCGAGGAGCTCAAATTTACCGGCTGTTCTCCAGATGGAGTCATTAGTCCCTCTGCCGGGGTTCATCTGGTCTTCCACAGGCTCAAAGACATAAGGGTGATTACACAGTTTTCTCAGTTGCATCAACATATTGCTGAGACCGCGCATGCTGGTTTTGCCGCCTTTACCGTCAGCCACAGCAAGTCGATTGTGCGTCATCAGCTGCATATAAAGCTTGGTCTGGAGAGCTGAGAAGCGACATTTGATGACTCGCTCTTGCTTGTCAGGAAGGTCCTTCTCCACGTCTTTCTTGAGACGGCGAAGTAAGAAAGGGCGCAGAACCTTGTGCAGGCGGCGGATAATGAGGAGCTGCTCTTCTTCGCTCAACTCCATCTTGTCTTGTCCACCGGTGTTGGCGAAAGGTGTATTGAACCATTCGTCGAACGACTTGACTGATTTGAAGATGGTAGGCAAAACGAAATTGAGAAGGGCCCACAACTCGGGCAGGTTGTTTTGTAGTGGAGTACCGGTCAAGATCAGCCGGTATCTTGTTGTGTAATATTGGGTGATGGTGCTGCTCAATTTCGATTGAGAATTCTTCATACGGTGACCTTCATCGACGATCATGTGTACCCATTTGATCTTGCTCAAAATAGGGCGATCTTTGATGATGTATTCGTAGGTTGTGAGCAAGACCTGGAAGTTACCTTGTCGGATCCTCATTTGTTGCTGCTTCCTGCTGTTCGGAGGGCCTTTGTACACGATACGACTGACAGAAGGAGCCCATTTCTCAAATTCCAGATTCCAGTTGGTGAGTGTGCTTAGAGGAACAATGACCAAGAATGGGCCGGTCTGACGCTTCTTCTCAATCAAATAGGTGATCAAACTAATGGTTTGAATGGTCTTGCCCAAACCCATCTCGTCGGCCAAAATGCCATTCAGGTTGTTGTTGAACAGTGAAATCATCCACTGGAGACCTTTGAGCTGGTACTCTTTCAGAGTGCCTCCAACCAGAATTGAGGGCTGGACGTTGACCTCTTCCTTGATTCTATGAGCGACAGCATAGTAATCGACCTTGCCACGTCCTTCCTCATCTTCCGAGTCGCCCTCATCATCTTCTTCCTCCTCGAGGTACTTGTCTTCGCCCCATTTCTCTGCTGCACTTCTCTGTTGTTGTCTGACGGAGGCGGCAAGTTGCTTCAGGAAACCATCGGTCTGTTTGAGAAGATGTGTAATGCGAGAATCCTTGGCCTGGCCGAGGAGCTTCAGGTATGTCTCTTCGTCGTTCGCCTTCAATGCTTGCAAACGTTGCTTCGCAGTCCGTTCAATGCGCTTCTGTTCCTCACGTTCCATGTGTTGATGATGAGTGACCATCATCCGACCAAGCTTCTGAATACGCGAGCGCTGACTGATGGCATTGTTTTTGATATCTTGGGCATGGGCAACAATGGACTGCAGATGATTCGATTGCCGAGTCTTTTCCTTGTTCTCTCTGGCGTCGCGCTGCTGTTTCTCAAGTTTCTCAGTAATACGAGCTTCGCGAAGTGACTGCTTCTTCATCCGACGATGCATTGATCGGTTAGCTGTCATTGCCAGGTTGTCGTAGTAGAAGAGCTCTTGCTGAATTTCACGGCGAAAATCTCGCTGTTTCTGAAGTAGACATAGCTTTTTGTACTCGATTAACGCCTTTACTTTAAGGGAGTCGTCAGCAGAGGGTTCGACGGATTTGCTAGTGTCCCAAGATGCGATGTTCACAGGCAGTGCTGCCAATTCGGCCTTTCGAGCTTGAATGCGGTTGTACAGCAGCCGTTCTTGCTCCTCTCGAACCTGGTCCGAGTCAAGACCAATAGGGAGGATGCTAGGGATCTTCTGGCGCCTACTGCGCTGTGAATGGTCGGAGAAGCTAATCGCCTTGATGAGGAGATCGTAAGGCGACTGATAGGTTTCGAAGAAAGATTTAGCTCGAGCAACTTCGGTCGATGCGCCGTCGTCCTTCGCTTCCGCAACGCCATTCCCCACTTTATCCCCAGAGGGAATGCTGTCCGTGGGCGTGACTGCCTGTTGTCTCAAGGAGGGGAAAAGTTGTTGCTGTATCCTGGGGTGCAACGGCTGGTTCTTTGACAGGGTCTTGAAAGCGAAAATCTGGGTTCTCAGTAGATTCAGCTGTTCTGGTGTAAAGCTGCCGCTGGTCTGGGCGGCGGCACGCGGTGCCTGTGCCCCAGCAGATGATGCAGGATTGGGACCTGAGGTTGGGTTCGGCGCGGAGGAAATTGCCTCGTTCACCACCGCACCTGTCGAATCTTGCTGACCGTTGCTAGTCCCATTTGTTGTCGAGGTGTTGGCATTTCCGTTCACTTGTAGTCCGGCATGTTGGTTCGATTGTGGATGCTGCTGTTGTTGGGCAATCTGCATCCGAGCTTGGAGTTGAGCCTGTGCCTGCTTTTGAGCCTGCAACTTGCGATAATTCTGCTGTTGTTGGACAGCAGTGAGAAATCGATATGCTTTTAAGTACTCAGGATCGGTTTCGGGGACATTTTGTGCTTTCATGCGCTGGAATTTCTGTCGTCTGTGTTAGTTGTTGGCCACTGAAGGAATAATTGGGAGGCAGCGAGGGGGGTTGGAAAGCTTTTTGCGGAGTTGACATACCTGATAAACTTCCTGCACTTGAGCTTGAGAAAGGTTGGGGGGGAGGGAGGGAACATTGGCCTGCATCGCAGGCGCGGACTGAACAGAAGTCATGGTGACTTCTCAGTCGGTGCAGGATCACTGCAACGCTAGGCAGCTGCAGGTCAAGGCGAAGGGTGAAGGGCCTATCCGGGCATCTAATCAAGGTAGGTGCCGTTGTTTCCGACCGGCGCAGCCTCGTGAGGATGGATGAACGTGGCGCAGATCGCAGATGGGAGAGATTCGTGGTGAAGCAGTCCTGGGTGAGGCGAGGTTGGGCGGTTGAGGCGAGGGTGCCTGATTAAAGAGGGGACGAAGAGTCGGCCACTGCGTTCGGGCGCACTCCTCAGGCGGTGCTGCGAGTTGCCAGTGTTCAGTTGAGATGAAAAGAGATGGATGCGACGCGTTGATTGATGATTTTCCCGGCCGAGGGGCCTTCACGTCTTGGGGAGCGCAACGGAGAACAGATGTGACCCCCAAACGAGGTCTGCGGTCTGCAAGTAGTTTGCCAAGCGGGCGGCAAATCTTGGGTCTTTACAGGTCACGGGATTACAAATCACGTGGCGCGGCAAAGGCATCTCCCAGAAATACTTCATCTTGGAAAAGGGAAAGGTCTACTGGCCGTTTACACCGTGACCAAGGTACGGATCATTTGTACGGTTTCGAGGCAGATGGTAGGAGACTGATACTGGGTATGCTAGCAAAATGACCCAGTTATATGTCATACAACGCCGCTCCAATGCATTCTCCTCCTGGACTTGGCTCTAATTGTCTGTGGCAAGCAACTCCCATCATGGCCCCCCCCAGACCAACGCCAGACTCCGTCTAACAATCTAAGCGGCCTTCATGATCCCCTGTATACACGGTACTTCACGTAAGAACAGTGCGTTTTGCTGGTACAGGAGGGGGTGGTGGCTTCTTTGAGCGTGACGGAGGTGGGGGGGGCGGGGCAGCATTCTTCTTTCCAGTCAGAAGTGTCACTGATTCACTACCGTGAGAGGTTGCAGGGGATATAGATGGATCCCCGTAACCGCGGTCAGAGCCACTATTCGTGTAAGAGCCCGATTCATCTGCAAAGACATCCTGTTCGTCCACGCTTCGTAAATGTGATCGCGCCGTTCGAATCATCAAAGAATCACTGGGGACGCGTGAAATTCCAGGCCTGGTAGCTGGAGATAGATCTCTCACTGGATGAGAGTCATTGTACGTCGTGGCTCTGGCATAATTCGGGCGAGCTGGCGAATATTCGGACGTAGGTTGGTCGGTAAAGCGGCCGCTCCGAGTCGACTTGATAGTCGGCCGCACTTCGATCGCTGGCGGTGTTTCTTCTGCTGGCTCAACAGTCTGGGTGTATGACCGCACAGTATTTGATCTTGATCTAGGGTTAGGACGGTTACTACGATTTGATAGCTGGGATCTGCGCGGATTGAGTTAGATACGAGCCCCAATTGAGAGGAAGAATCTCGCTTACCTGGCAGGCCACTCGCTCCTCAGTTGCAACAGTGCTTCCCTGCACTTATCGTGATATGCCAGTTCAGCATCGAGGAACGCTGCAAGATCGGCAACACTCTCGGGATCCGAGTCACGGATTTCTTCCATTCGACGCTGAACATCGTCGGCAGATTCTTCATATTTGGCCTTCTGAGTCCGCAGTTCCTCTTCGACACGGAAATCTTCTTTCTTGGCCTTCTGCATCTTTGCTAGAGATGTATCATAGGCCAGTCGGCGCGTCTCGAGTCGCTTGCGAGCGGCCTGGTATTCTTTCAACTGAACCAAAGACCTCTCGAGAGATTCTAGCCAGGAAGTGGTGGCGCTTGTGATGTAGGTTTCCTGTGCGCGAGCCAACCGTTCTTGCGTTCGGCCAAACACTTGGGAGGTCAGCATCCAAGTTCAACTGTAGCACGGGCATACTCACTGTTGAGACATTGACCATATTCCGAATCCGTCTCAAAGTCTTCGCCGTGCGAAATCATGGTTCCGCCCATATACGCAATCGGAAGTGTTTTCTCTTTCCCCTCCACCTCGGACCGTTTTGAGATGGCTTTGATGTAGGCATTCATTGATCGCTGCATTTTCTCGAGGCCTGAAAAGTGTAGCCGTTAGCGCTCCTTTTTTTTTGTTTTTTCGTTTTTGGCTGCGATTGTGCAGCAGGAGGATGGTACACACCCTCCTGACGGAGGCCCATCTCCACCTCAAGGGCCTTGAAGTCGTCGGATACATTGGTCTTGACTTCCCCGCCCATGCGCTCTCCTGCCCATTGTTTGAAACGATCGAGTTTCTTGTTGACATTCATGATTGGCAATGTTGAATGACGACGCTTGTCGACAGTGTAAAGGGAGTGAGAGGAGAATGTAGTAGCGAGTGAGAGTGCTGATGTTGGGGTCGATAAGGGAAGGTGCTATGTTACGCGCTCTGCGTCGGTGGGAGCAAACGGAGGGATCGGATCGGACAGCGCGGTGGTCTAGTCTTGTAACTGGAATGCTGATCCAGAACTAGGGAAAGATGAGCAAGGGAAAGAAACGAAGTCCGACGGGGCGAGCAGCGTGAATGAGGTCAGAATATAGAGGGAGAGTCAACGACTGTCTGCGCTTACAGCGTGGAACAAAAGTCAGGCCCTACAAAGAGGAGGCCGTGTGTGTGGATGATGAATAAATCCCCCCGTTGCCAGTCTCGGTTCCAGTTACAGTCGTGGTTGCAGTGACGAGCGACGCGCACACATGCATCGGTCTTTTAGAGTTTCTGAACCCCTTCGAGTTCCACCGCGCAACCAGCGCACCACCAAGAGCAGCCAGGGCAGCGAGAACCACTGGTTCCCAACAGCTGCCCCTGACTTCAAACTCTTCTGCGGGGGATTCGCCAGAAGCTCCAGCGCTGCCAGTGACAGGTCGTGTCCATCTGAAACAATACGCCACCAACTGAAATCATCACTTGGCTTATCTACCGAGTACAGTACGAGTCCACTCTACCTCGTAAATGGTGCAGGGAAAAAAGAACCATCCAAAGCCAGGTTCGCCTTTGGCAGGGGCACAATTGCGGCATAATTTTAACAACCATACGGATTACCACGTTCCCGGCCTTTTCTCGCCGCCGAACGCCGTAAGCATTGTCATGCATATTGTTGGCATGTAAGCATGGACGTCCGTATGAATTCGGCCTCGTGACATACGTATTTCTGAAGAAGGGGTGCAACATTGACACGCCACAAGCCGCAGAGTACTCGGTACAGCTCGAGACTTGCAAAAGGGGGAGGGGTTCAGCTCCATCACATACTCGATTGTTTGACACCGCCATACTCTGGAAGTGATGGCATTCCCTCGTGCTGCTAAGACCCTGTAGAATTTTCCTGTCTTTCTCAACGGATCTTCATTGGGCACATGGAGCCCACGACCCCAAGCTACCTGGTTTCACTAGCTCCCGCTCAATAATAATGCTCCGACTGGCATTCTTTTGGCCGTCAGATCTTTGAGCCCTTTCACTTTCTGTGTTGCGTAGTGGTAGTGATGCGAATGCCATCAAGAGCCGTAACACAATCCACGCCATTTTCAGGAAGTCCCTCGTACAAACATCCACGTCTACTCCTTGGTCTTCTGGGTACCACGTAGCAAACCAGTCCTCCGGGCAGCAATAAGGCCGGCCTTTTGACCTTGGGCTGCGTATCGTGAAATGGTAGAAGCCTTGCCGATGTGCTGATGGTTACCACCACCGTGGGGATGGTCGACGGGGTTCATGGCAACACCACGAGTCTTGGGCCAAGAGTTGCGCTTGACAGCGAATTTGTGCTTTGCGCGGGAAGCCTCTGTGCCCAACTGTTAGCCAATTCCGACAGTCAAATAAACGATGGCCATGCACGTACTGAGCATTGGCTTGTCGGTACGTCCGCCACCAGCGACGATGCCGATCATGCCTCGAGCGGAACTGAGAACAACCTTCTTTGCACCACTGGGGAGCTTGACTCTAGTCTTGCCTTCATCTGGGTTGTGTCCGATCACAGTCACATAGTTGCCTGAAGTTCTTCCCAATGCGCCTCGGTCGCCAGTCTTCTCTTCCACATTCGAAACGACTGTTCCTTCGGGAACTGCACCTAATGGAAGAATGTTGCCAATATTCAAGGCTGCATTCTTTCCGGCGTAGATGAACTCTAGGGACACCGCGCAGTCAGCCAGTGCACCAGATTACGGATCCCAATTCCAAAAACAGCGGCTGGGGGAAACATACGACCGGTAAAGAGTCCCTCGTTGGCAATGAATGTTTCGGTCTTGAGGCCATATTTGTAGGGCGAGCGGAACTGGACACGGGCGAGGGGTGCCCCTCGACCCGGATCATGGATGATTTCAGTCACCACGCCACGAATGTATCCATGTCGCTCTGAATAGTCGAGCTGTCGAAATTTGGCGGCTCCTTTTCTCAACCTGGTATGACTGGCTGTTGCGGCACGTCAGTAAAGGATGAGGACTCAATTGAGCAAGTTTGCGGACGGAGAGAAGGGATTTTGGGAGAGATTGGGACGAGAAGGCACTGACTGAAGATGGATCCACGCCCTTTGCGCTGGTTCCGAATGACTCTACCCATGATGGCGTAGAGCTAGGAGGTAGTTGTCGACCGGAGGTGGTGGTTGAGAGTTCGAGATGAAGGGGATGGGCGCGGGTTTCGTTTGTGTGCGCCCTTGCAAAAATCTTGGCATCCAGTAACTGTTTGTACGGTGGGGAAGAGGCACCTTCACCGCAGGAAGTGCACTACTCTTTTTATGTACTAGTGCATCCTCAGGTGGCGTGTTAATTTTGCACGTGATAACTTGGCTGCCGCCCAGCCCGCCCAAGCCCGCCTCACCTCCAATTTGGAATCTGAAGTCTAGTCCGCAACCACCAACTTCAAGTTCATCTTACTTCGCCTGGTCGCACTGTTTTCCTCCACCTGTACTGGGTGCAGCTAGATTACTGAATTCCGCAAATGCCTTGGTGGTTTACGTAGTTCGTACCGCCTTCTTCTGACATTCAGATGATGCTCGGTAATATGGAGCTTACAGAGTCTTGCCAACCAAGGAGGCTCGTCGTATCATGATGTTCGTTCTGTTCGGCGGGGCGACATATGTCGAACAGAAGAGCTGTGGCTTGTGGTAAGTTCTTCCAAGCTTGAACATGCGCGGAGTAGATTGCGACTCTGCGATCCTGCTGTGCATTGACCAATGGGTGGGCGTGGTCTGACTGAACGTCGACGAATTGATCAATATCACGTTTGGAGCAGGGGAATTATCATCTGCTCGCGCGGTGTCTGCGAAGACTCATTGCATATAAGAGCTCGGTCAACCAAAGCCACCAATGCCGAGACTTCTCCAAAGACACTCAAGTTTGCCGAGCTGAGCCTTGAAGCGTTGCTCACAGTTGACGGGGATACTCTCCTGAAGCGGATCGACTCGAAAGTACGCCATTGAATTCGGCTATATATACAGGCCCTACCAGCAACTACAACGATCTTGCCAGTGATGCGATGTGTCGGTATCAGTCTCAAAGCCCTCTGGTCACTGTCCCCAGTTCTAGGCTCTGGGTATTCCAGGCCAGTGGACAGAACACCATCCTTACAAGAGTACCTAGGTATTCACCAACAGAATCAAGGCACAAAATATGGGCGCGTTGTCGAAACGGCAATTGGCATGGAAAGCCGGAGAACCCCGCGCCTTCTCGGAGAATGCTAGTCTCAGTCAGGATTCGAGGCAGGGACAAAGCATGCCGCAGCGACGTTCGAGGCTGGGAAATAGACGTCTACCGACGAGCATATCATCGGCTCAGAGTGCTAGCGGTTATGTGCGAGACTGGCTGCATGGGGGAAAACGGGAGTGAGCCCGCGACCGCCGCAATCCGAGTCGGAGTCCAAAGAGGCTGCTCGAACGCTTGGCAGGCTGGCATCCCCCAAAATACCCTTCGTGGCGATCACCCTCCGACGCTTAACGACCAGAAAATGTCCAACGGTGGCTGGTGGTTGAAGGCCATCTGGTGCTGCGATCTCAAAGGCATGATTAGCATGGGAGGACGTCGCTCTTGAGGGAGATCAAAGGGATGTCGTTGATGCCAGGGCCCGGATAGCGATGAAAGTGCGATCATTGGCCGAGCAGCGCGTAACTTGCCCTCAACGCGCCAAGTGAATTCATCAGACCGCTTCCTGATTTTGTAGTTTCTCTTCACTTCCTCCCTGCGCTCCTGCTGCGACACCCCTGTCCCGCACTGTAACTGTCTTAATCTCAGTGTCTTCATTTCTCCTCGTTCAGCCATGGCCGACTCCGACTCTTCTTCCCTGTCTTCTGCACCATCCTCAGACGATGAAGAAATGGCTCAGAAAATGGCGTTGAAGCCTACGGGATTGGATCGATATTTCAAGCCGGCGCCCAAGCCTGAAGCCAGCCCGGAACCTCCCAAACGCGCACCCTCACCGCCCCACGAATATACTTTGGCCGACAACCCAGCGATTGCCTTCATTGTTATGTTCAGAAGCCGATTCAGCGACGTGTTTCCCAAATCTCTCCCGAACTACGGTCCGCAGGACGTCGAAAGAGGGGTTTCCGGAGAACTTCCCGACGAACATGTAGAGAGACTATTGTGCGCGCTTTTGGGTCTTGTCTTGAACAGAAAGAAGGATGTCGAGTCAGTCTTCGCGCATTGGACGACCCGCTGCCCAACATCGAGCTCTAGGGACGTCCTATATTTCATTTCTAACACTGACCAGACGCGGACACTATGGCCGGGCCCTTGAGGATGCAATCTCTGCAAACCACAGCCAGTGGCCGACTGAGTGGAGGGGAGTCAACCCTCTGCACGGCGGCAAAAATTTCAACAACATGAGCCCGGAAGAGCGGGTATGCGTCTGCCTTTCCTCCCTTGCTGTGCGTGGCTGACCAAGGCCTAGTTGAGCCTGCTCAAAGCGCTTATTCTTTGGTCGCTTAATTCCTCCGAAGCCGTTCAAGCCCTTATCAAAGAGTCCTACAAGCAGACGCGTCGAGACGACGACCGAAACCAGCCTCGAAGCGTCCAACCTTGGTTTTCAGATCAATACCGCCGAAAGTATTGGCTCGTTGAAGGACAGGATGATTCGCATTTTCGAATTTACAGAGAAAATGACGGCAAGACCGCAAAGACGAACACGTGGTTCAGCGTCGCTGGTTCCATTCAAGATGTTGTTGCCCTAGCGGATAAGTTCGCCGACGAACACAGTTCCAATTCGAAAGTGATTAGTGACAAGCTACGGGCGGCCATTCCAAGATTCGAGGCAGGCGAAGAGGTAGGCAACGTCCCGCACGCACTTTACAGCCGCTGACAATGCATCAGAAGCGCAAACGTCGTGATTATCGCCTTGCCCGAAAAGCCGCCTTTGCCCGCCCGGAACCTGGATTCTCACTCTATGAGGGACGGACACGCGGAAAGAGAATGAGATATACATATTCCGACGACGAATATGGGTCGGACGGCCTCTCCAGCAAACGATCCACGCGTAATTCCGGCATCTCTACCCCTTTAGAGACTGGGCCCACCGTCACTGCCAGTGGCAGGCAGGTCAAGTCGAGGGTGGGTGGTCTGTACGGTGAGAGCATGCTGATTGATCAGCGCAAGGAGTTAGAAAGAGCGACAGGCGAAGGCAACTTCACAGAGACAAGTGATGACATGCCCGCCACTAGGGCTGGTTCGCGTGATATAAGAACATCAAGGTCAGGAAGACAAGTCAAGCCGACCAGACAAGGTTATGTCAACCAAATGGACTCAGACGAGAGTGAAGAGGCTCAATCTTCAGGTAAAGAATGGAGTGGAAATGAGGACGAGCCAGATGAATCAGAACCAGACTTTGACAGAGAGGAGGACGACGACGATGAGGATGAGGACATGAGTGAAGATGGACTCGAGCCAGACGAGGTGGAGGAGGATGAGAATACTCAAGAAAGCTTGGTCGTACAGTTGCGGTATCGGAAGGACGCCCCGAAACCTACATCCACAGCAACGGCACAAGCTCCTCCTCCTGAGTCTCCCCATATAACGAAGAGAACGTCAGCGGTTGTCAATGGCTTGCAGCACGCGCAAGCTCAGGCGCCACCGAGGCCACTACGGCCCCTAGGAGAAATGATGGATACAATCGATTATGCCCCAGGAAACAAGCAGGCTGATACAGGGCAGCAACATTTACTGAACGGTGTGAAGACGACAGATCTCGATTCTCCTCGACCGCCTCCGGCAGCTCATGTTCCAATTCAGCCCATGGACATATCTTAGCACGTACGAGTTTACTGTCTAACTGCGAGAAACGAGAGTGGCAAGCTCTGGGGAATGTTGGGGAAGATCGATATAGCAGAGGTCGAGCCCATCCTGCCCTGGTGGTCAGGCTTTGCGGAGAGAGTCTGGTGTACAAAACCTGATGGTCCTTGATTGTGAGAACAGGTCAGATGAGGCCAAGAAAACCAATGCAACGCATCGAAGCATTGCCCTGTCATGAGGTAGATCATGCTAGGTCATCCATCTATCAGGATGCGCCGAGGGAAGCGCCCAAGGCCCTTGTTGCTTTTGTGTTTTCTTTCTTTCTCTTTCCTCTTTTGTTTCCTCTCGACAATTTCTGGTGTGCAGATTCTGGATGGATCTGCGTTGCTCCTCGTTCGCTATTGTCTTGGGGATAGTTGATTCTCTCTTTTGTTGACTTTGTGCACCCCATCTGTACGTTGAGTAAGCAAATGGATGGATGGATAGCACCCAGATGGATGACTTCTCGAACAGTTTGTAGCTCATGTTCCACATTGTACCGAGTACCGAGTACCTATACTATGAAAGCCGGTTGTATGCTCCATCACCATCCGATCTGAGCGGAGGGACAAAGTACCACAAATACAAACACAATAGTGTTAGGATGGCCATGGATTCAATTCGGCTTTGGTGCGTTGATTCTGTAGTCTCTATTTGACACACTCTCATAGACCATTCAATCCCTCCATTCAATCCCTTGAGGAGTGTCCTTCATCAATGCACCAGTGGTTGACACAAACACCGTCCTAGGCTAAACCTAACTAGACAACACATGGGAGAAAGGAAACTATGTCCTCCAATATTTGCTATCGGCTCTGAAGGTCGAAACCACCTGCTTGAGCTGATCTGTATCGAGTCTGCATCGTTTCTTTCCATCTCAGACCGTGATGTTATTCAATGAGATCCTCTTAGTAACAATCAAGCACTCATATGATACAGATCCATCAAGTCACTTCATAGTTGCGGAATTTACAGCCTCAACTTATCTTCATGCCATAGGCAATAAAAACCTCTCCCTCAACAAATCATCCGCACCAGGCCTCTTCTCATGATCTACCTCAAATGTTTTCCCCATAAACCTCTTTGCATCCTCACTAGCGTGTTCGGGAATAGTTGGCTTCTCATTATTGCTTCCGACAGCGAACAGTGTTTGGAGCGTTGTCATGGAGGGAAATGGGCGGGAACCTGTGAACATCTCCACCACAAGACACCCGACTGACCAGATGTCTGACTTGATGGACTGTCCCGATTGGCGGACCACTTCAGGGGCCATCCAGAAGACGCTCCCTTGGAGGGAGGTGC